ACAGGAGTCTCCTATCATGGGAGGTGTGGAATAAGCAAAGAGCTGCTTGGAATAAAAGCTCTTAAATATCCTGGTCCTGAGGGCTGCAATTCTGGTTTGCTTGTTCCTTGCAGACCACTGTATTTCCTTCCATCTGACAGCCACCAGGCGGGTGGGTGTTAAAAGCAGCTGATATTTTAAAATCAAGCTGCTGCATTTTCCCTCTGTGCCTTTGAGGGCTGCAATTCTGGTTTGCTTGTTCCTTGCAGACCACTGTATTTCCTTCCATCTGACAGCCACCAGGCGGGTGGGTGTTAAAAGCAGCTGATATTTTAAAATCAAGCTGCTGCATTTTCCCTCTGTGCCTGTAGTCCAAGAATCCATGCATGGGAGAGAGCTGTGAGCATCCGGCTGGTGGTTTCTTTGAAGACTGCCACTGATGCTGAAGAGACATGCTACTCTTCGGTTAAGTTGTCTGGAGAATCCTAAAAGTGTGGCAGGGACCTCTAAGGATCCCTGGATCCAAAGTGAAGAACCACTGGCTTTGGACCAGGTTCTCAAAGCAGCTGTCCGTGGTAGCCCATTGTGAACTCAGTGAAATCTGTTCTAGGGCCTGTCTTCGGGAGCAAGGATAACTTTCTAGGGCTGGGAGTGTTTGTAGACACCTACCCAAATGAGGAGAAGCAACAGGAGGTAAGGTGACCTCGGAGTAGCTCCACAAGCAGCGGGGGAACTGTGTGGGTGGGGTGGGGGCATGCCTGATGTCCTTGTCCCTCTGTTGGAGTGAGGTGGAGGGGATTGGTTAATCCTGAATTTTCCTTCTGGCTTTTGAGCATTCAGCAGACTTTGAGCACGTTCACTTAAACATATCTGCACACCAGTGAGAACTACAGCCCTGTCTCCTGCCCCCCTTTCTTTGAAATGAAACCTTAGATTTTCAGGTGGTTGTTTATTTTCCCCCCTAAATTGTGTCTTAAAACTGCTTGCATTCATCTCTTGCATTATGAAAGTGATCCTAGTTTAGTTTCATTTTTGAAATAAGCAAACCGTGCTGTTCAGCTGGCTGTTTTAAACGTGTGTTTTAATTTGGATGGTCTGTTCTTGTACTCAATGAGATGGCCGTTGATCACTGTAAACCTTGTTTCCTTATGCAAAGACTTTCTCAGTCTATATTTATGGATGGAAATGGGCATACACTTGAAACTCTGAGGTGTATATGCAGCATTTTAAAAAACACTGCATGTGGCCCTGACCTGGATAGTCCAGGCAAGTTGGATCTCGTCAGGTCTCGGAAGCTAAGCAGGGCCGACCCTGGCAAGTATTTGGATGGGAGACCTCCAGAGAGTACCAGGGCTGGGAGGCAGAGGCAGGCTATCAAGCCACTTCTCTGAACATCCTCCATGCCCCAGTGGGAGTTGCCAGAGGTCGCCATGACTTCCAGGCACGGGCGGGCACACACACAATGCAAAAATACCAACCCCCCCCAAACCACTGCATGTGGATTAGAAATATTAATGAACGTTGCCCAGTACTAGGGACTTTCTGAAGGGTTTCATCTCCAACTGTTTTGCTGATACTGAATTATGTATGTTTGTTTATTAAAACATCTGTACCCCTATAGAGTTACACCCTCATCCCCAAGTAATAACCTGTTTGGATTGTGTTTCCATTCTGCGGTGCTTTTGCATCTTCTGGAGTTTAACCCCAAGCTTGAATCCTGTTAACTCTTGTCAAGGAGTCCAAAGCTGAACCTCATGGGTTCCCAGGGCTGTTGTACACAAGAAGCCAAACCTTCTCTTTATTTTATTAAAATACTATAAAGTTTTATTTAATGTTTGTCAAAATAAAGATTTATTCCACTGGCAACGCGATACATTAAAATCATACAGCAGGAAAAAAAATGAGAAAACTAGCTTAACTATCTAACACATTTTCAAGAGTTGCGTTAGATGGCACAAACCTTAAGTCCAAGAGTCTAAGGCTCAAGTGTTCTTTTGTTAACTGACTATTGCAATATAAAGCATATCATAGTCCAGTCAGTCAGAATCCAGGCTAGCCTGTTTCTTCAGGGCGTTAACTCAGTTATAGTTTTTTGGCCAAGGAGTGTCAGATGATGACACCCAATCAGAACACACTCTTGCTGGAACCCACTAGAAAATTACCTCGTCATTCCTGATTCTGCCTCTCCCATCCTGTGGGCCATGAACAGCTAATTACCACATCTCCATGAATTTTCATGACTAGCTAATCACCACATCTCCGGCTCTGGCCTTGAAGATGATAAGGGCTATGTAGGCTGAGAGGTCAATTAGTAACACCTGCAGAATGTAACCAGCCCATAACCATTCAGATTAACCTGGGGGGGGGACGACGACCCAGGAGTGCTTTGCCTCACAGCTGTTTTGTGTCCCAAGTCCAATATCACAATGTCTAACCTGTAAATTCACTTTTGGGTTAGCTGTTTCAGGCAGACCCCTTCAAGAACTTGGGTTTTGCTTGCACAGGCGCATAGCTGAGCCATTTGGTCCCCTTTGCAGGCAGAGATATGGAAAGAGATTCCATGTGGAGTATGTGATTCATGCTGCTGAAGAGCACATGTGAATCATGCAGCTAAGTGGGTGGGGCTAATGGGAATGACTAACATTAAGGAAAGGTTGATGTCACTGGTCCCGCCCACACAACTGCATTATTTGAATGTGCTTCCCACCTATATGGGATCCTGCGAAAGTGGCTCTTGGTCACTGGGTGCATCTTAGAAATGTGGTCATGGTTTTGAGGAAATCCCACGTGGGGAAAATCCCTGATGCTTGGATGTGGGATGTCTGCAAGCCTGATGCTGGAGCATTGTTATATATTTCTTCAGTCCTAGTTAACAAGTAACCTGTACTGTTTACCAGACATCATGGGGGGGAAATGGCACATACTTGACTTTTAGCACTGAAAGGTCTCAAAAAATACTGTAACATTGAATAAAAAGGTAAGCAGAATAAAAAGGTAAGCAAAGTGTTCCTTGCACTCTGTAACCAAGCTCTTTCTGAGTCTTCAGCCCACCATACCAGAAAGAAAGAGGATTCCCAACAGCCCTTGCAGTGATACACCAGAGGGCTGGTTTATACAGTCAGCTGAATCTAACAGTACACCTTTGCCTGAAATGTAGCACTTCAGGGTCAGAAGAAAGGTAGCCACTAGACTCTGCTGCCTCTGTAAACAGACTGAGGCCTTGAACTTTGATGTCAAGAGTGTAGTCCTGTTTGAGGGTGGGGAGATTCTTGTTCTTGGGTTTGTGTGACAATTGAAAGAGAAAGCTTTGTGAAAGCCAAAACAAAATAACAGGTTGCCAATTTTGTTAGCAAAGGGCTAAAGTTGTAAGTTTAGCCCTTTGCTGACTAAATTGGCAGCTTTGTTCAGGGCCTGGTTTGTGTTAAAACATTACAACCAGATAGAACACTGAGAGTCTCTCTTTATGCCAGAGCAGAATGCACTGGTAATATAAGGGATGGTGTCAGTGGGAAAGGAGTAGTAGAAGAAACAGCTGAGAACACACTCTGAAATGCAGCAACTGGCTTGGGACACCGTAGGCCTGCATAGCATGTGGCTTAACAGGGTTGATGTCAAAAGAACTGCTAGGGTACATAATCTCAAAGTTTGGATAGGGAAGTAGTTTTTCCTCATTTTGTTTATTAAAATGAGAGGAACGCTTTATTTTTGCATCTGAAAAAGTTTATTTTTAGAGAGTACATGATTCCCCACCACCACCGAGAAGCTTACCTGTTGTGCTTCTTTGTGATTCTCTGATCTGGGTGTGTCTCCATGGCAGTGTAGCCCAGAGCAGCTATTCTGGCAGTGAAAGAATGGGCAAGTGTTTGTAAAGAATAAGATGGATAATTCTGATCCATCTTTGTACTGGGTGAAGGACAATTGAACAATCCAGTTGTACTTGCAGCAGCACAATTACTGTCTCCCTCTCAAAGGCTGATAGAAAGGGCGCCTAACTCAAGGGGACATCTGCCTCTGTGGGTAGACACAGGTGCTTTCAGTGTCTGAATCAGTCTTTATAGCACACAACGGGGGGAATAACTGTGCTAAGAGCTCCATACATATGCTTTGTTGCTTTCTGAGAACTAAAAATCTGTATGTGTTATCAAGCGCCTGACAGTCCCCAATGTGTGGCCAGTGGGCTGTGTTTGGCCTTGTGGGTCATAAGTGGTGCAGACCCGTTTAGGAATCTGGGAAACATATTTTTTGGGGGGGTCCTTCTTATGCATGTGTATATTGCACAAGGGTAAAATTCACACTGGTTCTTGCCCCTCTCCTTTGTTCCTTGGCCTGTGTATGTTGCTCTTTTTACTTATTGGGTGTGTTGGGGTGTCCCCCACAGCTTGGTTAACACATGTCCCCCTCCCACTGTGCTCTAAATGTAGGAAGGGACTGCAGAGCCCCTTCCCAATATTAACCTGGATCGCCAGGGCCAGAAGAAGGGCAAAGCTGGCATTTCCCTCTGGGTGGCCAGATGAAGTTTTGTTCCCCAGTTTATACATGGATGCTAAATTGCCTGTCGGGTGACCGTCTCTCGCTTCTGTACTCCTTCTTTTTTTGCTTTGCAATAACCGTTCTGGATCCTCAGGCCCAGAAGAGGAGGTATTCCTCAGGAAACCAGGTACTTGAAGATGCTCCCCTCGCCTTGTCTTCAGCTTCTAGCAACCCCCTTCTCTCCATCTGAGTTGCAGACATATCTTGGGAATGAGGGAGCTGCATTGTTTGGAGCCAGCAGGAGAGTCATTAAACTGTAGTTCCCTGGCTGGGCCATTCTCTGTCTCTCCCTTGTTCCGGGGCTCCCCCCTCCATCCTGCCTTGTTTTGGCTGCATCTCTTTGGAGTTAACTTGTGTGTTCCTTTTCTTTCTGCCTGCTTGTTTGTTGCTGTCTCTTGTGTGGAACCAAGATTTAAATCCCTCCCCTCAGCCAGAGATTGCTTGTGTGGCCCTGAGTAAGCCTCATGCTCCAGGCCACATTTCTTCATCTGTAAACCGTGATTATTCCCTAAAACCAATCTGGACCAGTTAACACAGAAGAATTCCTTTGGCCTACAGCTTCCTCCCTTCCACTGGTGCTGCTTTGCAGGGACCTAGTGAGCGGGCTAAAATTCTGACAAGGTGACGTGTATTCTGCACAGAGAAATAACTTTCTGCCTGTCCTTTTAAGGGCCTCATGGGTTCTCTTTGGCCTCTGTGAAACATCTGATCAGCTGTTGGTGGTTATGTTTTCAATTGGATGGCATCCCATTTTTTTAAGTCTTGTTCCCAGTGTGCCAAGGCTGCAGCCTGTTGCCAGCCAACACCCTGCATCCACTGAAGTTAGCAAAGCCTACACAAGATGCTTATGATAAATTCAGGTGGGGTAGCTGTGTTGGTCTGAAGCAGCAGAACAAAGTTGATTCCAGTGGTACCTTTAAGACCAACAAAGTTTTATTCAAGGTATAAGCTTGCACACAAAAACTTATACCTTGAATAAAACTTTGTTGGTCTTAAAGGTGCCCCTGGACTCCAAAGATGCTGATGGGGAGGCCTTAAGATCATGACCTGAGTAAACTTCATCTCTTTTGTTTGTTTAGCATCCAGCCTGTGGAAGCGTTCTGGAGAATTTTGATGCTTGCACACAGTGTCTTGGGGTGGTGGTGGTGGTCTTAATAAAAAGGTTTTACATGGCTTTTGTTTAGCTATGGACCAATGTAGCTTCCTGCTTTCCCCTCTCTGTCTTTCCTCCAGTGTAACCCAAACTGCCTGGTGGGTGAAGAGGGCTTTCTCCATTTCTTACAATACTAGAACTGCTGGGCCAACCAATGACATTAGTCGGCAGTAGGTGAAGGCCAGATAAGGACTGATTTGCACCCACAGCATTTAGAACTTGCTGCCAAGAGATGTGGCAGTGGCCTCAGCTTACATGGCTTTTAAACAGGTTTGGACTATCTGTATGCAAGGCCTGCCAGTGGCTGCTTCTATCAGCTGTGGTAACTAGAGTTTCCAGGTTCAGAGCAGCTGTTATGTGTGTGTGTGTGTGTGGGGGACACACAAATGGGGCAGGCTGCTTCCCTCATATGGTGCTTGTGGTCTGAGAGCCAGTTTATACTGGTTAAGAGTGTGGACTCTAATATGGGAGAACCAGGTTTGGTTCCCCACTCCTCCTCCACATGCAGCTGCTGGTGTGACCTTGGGTCAGTCACAAGTTCTCTCAGAGCAGTTCTCGAAAGAGCTCTCTCAGCCCCACCTACCTCACAGGGTGTCTGCTGTGGGGAGGGGAAGGGAAAGGAGATTGTGAGCCACTCTGAGACTCCGAGTGAAGGGGGGGGTATAAATCCAATCTCCCCCTCCTCCTTTCTGCATGAGCATCTGGTTGGCTGCTGTTGGAAACAGGGTGATGGATTAGAGGGACTTTTAGTCTGATCTACTGCAGCAGTTCTTGTATTCTTTGCCAGGGAGGGTTAATTCTCCAATTTGCATTGTGCACACACATTTGGATTTTCACTCCCATGTTGTTTTGCATAGTCCTGCCTCTGCTGGCCTTGGGGAAGGGGGAAGGGGCAAAGCACAGAAGCTCTTCCTCCCAGACCTTGGAAATCTTATTCAGCCCCTCCCCCGACTTCAGACACTGGCCTGGGTCCCTCCAAACACATTTTTCAGCCACAAGGGCTATAAACGTTTTGCTTAATGGAAACTGAATTTCTAAGAAACTAAATTCTGTACCTGGGGCTACATTTTTCAGGCTTGTTCAGAACGGCAATGGATACAGTAAGAATACATTCTGTCCAGAAACCTTTCAGAAAAAGGCAGGATACTCTCTGTTTAGAGAGAGAATTTGCAGGTCTCCTGAATAGGATCATGGGAAGACAGCATTGGATGGTCCTGTTTCACTGCCTGGAAGTAGTGTGAACACTCACTGCTCTCATTTGCCCTGTGTGTGGGAGGGGGCGTGTTTCTGGTTGCGAGGCATCCGGAACAGAGATGAGGAACCTCATCCTCTGCTTTGGTTAGATGTTTTGATCTATTCAAATAACCAGTTGTTCCAGGTCAGGCCAGCACTGATAAGGCAAGCTACTTGCTGGATTTTATAGAGGCTTAAGCCAAAGGCTACATGAAATACAACGAGAGACTTGAAACACACCCTTCACTGCTCGAAATTGGAGTGTGTGTCATTCCACATCTGTTGTGCCATGTGAAACTGGCCTATATCCTCCTATTCCCTCTAAGCAAAACCTGAAGCTTGAGGAGAACTTCCTTCCAATGGAAGAGCCTCTTGGGCTGGAGGAAGGCTTCTTCAGTCTAAAGTTGGATGCCGCCTGCTACTAGGATGTCCTACTTGGGCCATAACCTGGAGCAGGAATAGGCAGTCTGTGGACGAAATCCAGCCCTCTAAAACCTCTGTCAAGCGTTTATCGCAGTGTTATATAAAGGTTGGCACCATCGTTCACTTTTGAGGAAAGGAAGAAAAGTAGTGGAATGTGAATGGGAGAGCGAGAGAGCGAGCTAACTATCTCTTGGATGTGGTGTTGAAAGTGAATAACCTCTGCTGAATTTTGTTTAGGTGCAGAAACAGGAGTGATGTGCCAGTGATACTTCAGGCGGGGCTGTCAGCATCCCTTGATGACCACTGGAATTCACAAAACTTGATCTGGGAATGTCAGGCATTCAGAGCCTGTGCATGTGATACCCTGGCTGTACCTGGGCACCTGCACTCTCAGAAGCCTTGATAGGTCAGGGGCACCGACATGATCAGAGAACGTGTCCACCACTGAGGGGTCTAGTTTGTGTAGCAGAGTATGCACTGCTCTCCCATCCAATATTCCCTCTAAGCTGTGGAGTCTTGTGAGCAAAAATTCTACTTTGTGAGCTACTGGCATTAAAGTTGTGAGCGAGTGATTTGGCTGCTGCATAAATTAGTTTGCTCTGGAGCCCTCCTTCCTGAGCTAAGACAAAAGTGTGTGAGCTAGCTCACACTAACTCAGCTTAGAGGGAACACTGCTCCCATCTCCCATCTATAAAAGCATGCCCTCCTTGGTGCAAGTCCCTGGTGTAACCTTTTGCTGTGACATATTTCCTAGACTAGAAGGTGATCTCTGGCTGAGACGCTTGGCAGAATAGGTTGCTATTGTGCTTGCTGCAGATCCATTCTGTCACCCTTGGCTCCCTGCATGTGCCTTCCCCTTTTATTGCCCACATGAAACACCTGGATGTTGAAGGGCAATGTGAAAAGTAGCTGCCACCTGACCTTTGATCCCATCTCCTCTTCAGCGCGTGTTCCCTTATGTCTCTGCCATGGTGAGCAACGGCTCTCTAGCCTATGACCACGACAGGGATGGGAGGCCCACGGAACTGGGCGGGTGCACGGCAATGGTGCGTAACCTCAACCACGACACTTTCCTGGTGATACGCTATGTGAAGAGGAGGCTAACCGTGAGTGTCTCTTTCCTTTGGCCCCATTGCCCCCCTGTCCCAGCACTCCTCTCATCCAGCCCTGGAGAGGACTTGGATGGAAGGTTTGCCTGGATAAATGTCTTCTCCTGTGTTTCAGATCTTACTCGACATAGATGGCAAGCATGAATGGAGAGACTGCATTGACATCCCAGGGGTTCATTTCCCACGAGGATATTACTTTGGAGTATCTTCTGTCACAGGAGACCTGTCAGGTATGGCTGCTTTTATAGCAAGCTTAAAATCTGCCTTACACGCATCAATCAACTGGCTTTATATTGAGTTGGGATTGTTTCCTCTGACTGGTGCTGGCTCTCCAGAGTCTCAGGGAAGAGGTCTTTCGGACTTCTGGTGTATGATGACACGCTGGCGGACGCATATCCCAGACCTCCCGGGGATGTGATCTGCGCACCAGCAGAAAGGATGGGGGCGTATTTCAGAGACTTTAGCAAGTTTTCATAAAAGTAAACAATCCATAAAGATGGCGGAGAAGAGGGCAGAGAAAGACAAACCAGCAAAAGTGAAACCAGCCGGGACCATGAGCCCCAGACTGGAAGAGGTCACTGAGTTCTCCAAAATGTTGGCAGATACCTTGCGCCCTCTGCTGGACCAGATGACTAACATCAAACAGCAGCTGACGACTCTAAACCAAAATCTTGCAACTCAGCAGCTTCAACTGACTGAGACTTTAAAAATAATGGAGCAAATGGCTGAGAAGGTGAAGGAAATGGACGCCAACACTAAAAAAGTCAAGAAAAAGGTGCAAAAGCTGGAAAAGAAACAAGCTTCGGAAGAATCACAACTTTTACAGCTGCAAATGCAGAAAGCAAATTTGGTCCTACGGTTTCAAGGGGTCCCAGAATTAAAAGGTGAGAATCTAAAACAACTCCTGAGTGAAGCATTAGCCCCAGTTACAGATTTGAAAGCGGAGTATCTTGCAAGTGAAATGGATGTGGTCTATAGATCCCATGTACATCAAAAAGAACAATCTGCCTGGGGAAATAGTAGCCAGATTCTCAAAGCGACATGTGAGGGATTCTATCCTGAAAGCAACTACAGGAACACTCTTGAAAATC